AAGTCCAGGTATACTTAGTTTTCAATACCGCTGAATAATGATGATAATCCTTCAATGACAAAGCGGGTCCCCTTTATTACCTGGTCAATGCTTTTCTTGTTTTTTCTTTCTTATAAGTCAAAGTTTTGATTAATTAGAGTTATAGGTAAACAGACGTCTACAATTGACAGCTATTTAATTTCACTAGCATTTTCTGTTTTAACCTTCTTAGACAAAGGACATCCTGGACATTCCAGAATGTAGAGAGCACTTTTTTATTGTCATTTTGTTTTTTTTTTGGTTCCATTGACGTATAGATTAGGTTTGTATACGAAATAAAGACACTTGAAAATTCAAATTGTGTAGGGTCATCAACAGCATAGGGTGGTGTCCGAACAGTAGTCGAAAAGTCCTTTTTTATTATCCTAACATTTCCCTCAAACTTGAACAAACGATATGTCTATTTCTCTGCCCCTATCTATTCCCGTTTCTGCTTTCGATATGTCTATAACTAAGCCTTCAGAGTGGTTACAAATTATTATGTTTTCTATAATTTTTATTTTTGTTTTGATAATATTTTTTTTACATTTATGAAGAATAAGAAAGTAATAACGACATTAAAAGATAAAACGTATAGATATATATTTTCACAAAAGTGGTAATTATCTTTGCGAGAAACTAAAAAAATCAAAAATTTACTATTTAATAGTTATAATTATAATAAATTCGTTGCAGGTAAATGTTTTTAAAAATTTTAGAAATTTTTGAATTATCACAATTAAATTCCCTGATGTTCACTGAAATTCATACTTCCCCGATACTTATACGGTAATTCCCTGATAATTCCTGGCTGTGGTCAACCTGTCCTTCCTTTAATGATATTTTTCGAATTTCATAGCTAGAGATGTGTAAATTTTTGGTTTTGGGGTTTTTTACGTAAGTAAAATGTCATTTTTCTCTATTTTGATTATAATTTGGGAAAAAAAAATTATATTCAAACCTACTACGTATACGCCCATCGGAACCAAAACAAAAAAATCTTACGATTAACATTAATTAATTAATTAATTGACTTACAATAGACTATCTTCCAGCTAAAAATCCAATCCCCCAAAATCTTGAGAACTGTTTTACTGTTATTTAATGTCTTGATGATAATCGACGAAAAAAACATTTTTTATTATTTGATTTTCACTTGTATTTTGCACAAATTCAACAAATAATAATCATTTGTAGTATAATAATTATCGCCACTATTTATGTGATAACTATATTTGTTCACGATTTGGACGAAACTGAATCTATTTGTACGTCTTTCTTGCACAAAGATATTGCATACGGTACACATATAATAAGAAGTCAATGAAAGTGTTATCAGTCATTGTATTGATAGCTTATTATATGTATTAAGAACATTTTTCAAGTGATAAACGTTATTTATCGTATTTACCAGGGGGGCGTCAAGTAAAAAGGAAGGAGCATGAAAAAAAGCATGTAATTGTTATGTTATTTGGATTTTTTATACAAATATGTACATATAATAAGTATGAACTCATTATTATTATGTTTCTTTATAAATCATGAGATCGAAATCTAATTTTTATTATCATTTCTATTGGAAACTGAAAAAAGTATTAAGAAAATAAAACACTTGGTATTTTTGTCCTACAAATGTTTATTTAGAACTGACAATTGTTTCGGCTGTTATGCCTTTATCAAAGTGAATTAAAAATAAATAAAATACCAAGTGTTTTATTTTCTTAATATTAAGTATGTTCCACCAAGAGCCAAGCCAGAAATCAATTTCGTTATGTAGAATTATTTGGAATCCAACATAACATAAAAAAACCTAACTTGAAAAAGCTCCCCCCTTCTTATCTGGAGGGAAACGCTGATGTGGTTTTGTAATCAATAAAAAACCTTTCAGCCTTATAAGTCCTGATTTTTGAATTTAATGCTCGATGGCATTATTATAATAAATATTCAATTTTGACATACAGACAGACAGATGGATGACAATGTCTTACCATTAGATAAGCTTTACAGTACAATACCTACCACATTTTTTTTTATGAAATTGTAGATAATATTTCTTTTATTATTAATATTTCATTTTTTTGAGGTAACATGTACAAATAATTTATTCGATAAAATTAACCAA